ACTAGCACTGTGGTACTGAATTAGGAAATCCCAACTAGCACTGTGGTACTGAATTAGGGAATCCCAACTAGCACTGTGGTACTGAGTTAGGGAATCCCAACTAGCACTGTGGTACTGAGTTAGGGAATCACAACTAGCACTGTGGTACTGAGTTAGGGAATCCCAACTAGCACTGTGGTACTGAGTTAGGGAATCCCAACTAGCACTGTGGTACAGAGTTAGGGAATCCCAACTATCACTGTGGTACAGAGTTAGGGAATCCCAACGATCACTGTGGTACTGAGTTAGGGAATCCCAACTATCACTGTGGTACAGAGCTAGGGAATCCCAACTAGCCCTGTGATACTGAGTTAGGGAATCCCAACTAGCCCTGTGGTACTGAGTTAGGGAATCCCAACTAGCACTGTGGTACTGAGTTAGGGAATCCCAACTAGCACTGTGGTACAGAGTTAGGGAATCCCAACTAGCACTGTGGTACTGAGTTAGGGAATCCCAACTATCACTGTGGTACAGAGTTAGGGAATCCCAACTAGCACTGTGGTACTGAGTTAGGGAATCCCAACTATCACTGTGGTACAGAGTTAGGGAATCCCAACTAGCACTGTGATACTGAGTTAGAGAATCCCAACTATCACTGTGGTACAGAGTTAGGGAATCCCAACTAGCTCTGTGGTACTGAGTTAGGGAATCCCAACTAGCACTGTGGTACTGAGTTAGGGAATCCCAACTAGCACTGTGGGTACTGAGTTAGGGGATCCCAACTAGCACTGTGGTACTGAGTTAGGGAATCCCAACTAGCACTGTGGTACTGAGTTAGGGAATCCCAACTAGCACTGTGGTACAGAGTTAGGGAATCCCAACTTAGCACTGTGGTACTGAGTTTAGGGAATCCCAACTAGCACTGTGGTACTGAGTTAGGGAATCCCAACTAGCACTGTGGTACTGAGTTTAGGGAATCACAACTAGCACTGTGGTACTGAGTTAGGGAATCCCAACTAGCACTGTGGTACTGAGTTAGGGAATCCCAACTAGCACTGTGGTACAGAGTTAGGGAATCCCAACTATCACTGTGGTACAGAGTTAGGGAATCCCAACTAGCACTGTGGTACTGAGTTAGGGAATCCCAACTATCACTGTGGTACAGAGTTAGGGAATCCCAACTAGCCCTGTGATACTGAGTTAGGTAATCCCAACTAGCACTGTGGTACAGAGTTAGGGAATCCCAACTAGCACTGTGGTACTGAGTTAGGGAATCCCAACTAGCACTGTGGTACTGAGTTAGGGAATCCCAACTAGCACTGTGGTACTGAGTTAGGGAATCCCAACTAGCACTGTGGTACAGAGTTAGGGAATCCCAACTAGCACTGTGGTACTGAGTTAGGGAATCCCAACTATCACTGTGGTACAGAGTTAGGGAATCCCAACTAGCACTGTGAAACTGAGTTAGGGAATCCCAACTATCACTGTGGTACAGAGTTAGGGAATCCCAACTAGCTCTGTGGTACTGAGTTAGGGAATCCCAACGAGCACTGTGGTACTGAGTAAGGGAATCCCAACTAGCAC